CTGATTCAACCGCATTAATTGATCAATCTAAACAGTTTTCGTTGAAACCTTCTGCTGCCAGGCCACCAAGATTATACGGCTTACCAAAAATACATAAAGTTGATACACCTCTTCGTCCCATAGTCTCTACTATCAGCTCCCCCACCTACAAACTAGCTCGTTTTTTGTCTGAAATCCTGCGTCCTTTCACTGGAAAGACCACCTCTGCGGTACAAAATTCTACTCATCTGGTATCAACAATCAAGGGTATTTCCCTGTCCCCAGACGACCTGCTTGTCAGTTTTGATGTAGTTTCCTTATTCACCAAGGTTCCTGTACCTGACACCATTGCAATCATTGAAGACTTGGTTCATCAAGGACTAAACACTGAGGTACCCCCCCTGGTGAGACACTGTTTAACCAATACATACTTCACTTGGAATGGAACTTTCTACAAACAAACTGAGGGCACCCCAATGGGCTCCCCCCTTTCTCCAGTTATAGCTAACATTTTCATGGAGAAATTTGAGACTGACGCCATCCAGACTGCCACTCTGCGCCCAACCTTATGGAAGAGGTACGTGGATGACACTTTTGTCATCTGGCCACATGGCCGGCCTGCTCTAGACCAATTCTTCGACCACATCAATTCCATACACCCAGCCATCAGATTTACCATGGAAGTCGAAATAGATGGCAAGATACCTTTTTTGGATGTCCTAATTAAAAAGAGACCTGATGGTTCAATGAGCCACTCTGTCTACAGGAAAGCTACCCATACGGATGCTTATCTGAAACCGGATTCCCACCACCATCCATCACAGAAGAATTCTCTCATCAAGACTCTGTATCATAGAGCCCAATGCATATCCGACCAGGAACACATAAGCAGTGAACTCAAGCACGTACACCAAGCTCTTAGGGCTAATGGTTACTCCGACTATACAATCCGCAAAGCTATCACTCAAACCATGAAGAAGAACCCTCTTGAGGAGCCTTTCAAAACCATCACTTTACCCTACATTGCTGGGATCACAAAAAAGATCTCCAAAATCTTGAATAAACACAAGATCCAGGTCCGTTTCAACACATTACATAAAATCCGTGATCTGGTTCCGTCTGTAAAGGATGTGATTCCGGACATACAATACCCTGGTGTCTACAGACTAAGTTGCCTCTGTGGTAGTAGTTACATTGGAGAAACCAAACGCCATGTCTCCGACCGCATTCGTGAACATAAAGCAGACCTTAAACACGGTAGGACCAACACCTCGGCCGTAGCAGATCATTGTTCTAATTCAGTAGGCTCACATGCCATTGACTTTTCCAAGACGGAGGTTCTTTGTAAGCCATCTGGCTTCCATGAGAGATTCGTTCATGAGGCTATCCACATATACAAGCACAGAGACAATTTCAACCGAGAAGATGGATTCTAAATTTCGATTTAAAGCTTTCGTGACTGCAATGATTCATCTTCTTTGGTTCTTTCGGTAAAGTCACGTAGAATGAGAATAAAATAATAAATTGATCAAATAAAATAACACAATAATATTCTCACGACGTTTCGGCCACAACACAAGCGGCCTTCATCAGGTGAAGGGAGCGAGACTGTCTGGTAGGACAGCGCTGGAGTGAGAGAGCCACGTTCAGATCACGGCTTTTAAGCTGTGTGAGAGGAACAAAGAGCCTTGACGAAGGAATTAGCATAAAATTTAGCATTGAAAAGGCTGAATGATTAGCTTGTGACTGGTCACAGAAATAGCTATGTTAAAAGTTAAAGCATACACCTCCGCAGAGGCACCCATTGTTAAAAGGAATTAGCATAGAATTTAGCATTGAAATAGCTAAATTAAGGCATTTGCTTGTAACTGCTACAGAAATAGTTACGTTGAAGTCAGAGCATACACATTCACCGAGGCACTTAGTACAAATCAAAACAGGAGAATTTAGCATTTAAATAACTAGGCGAATTTAGCATTGAAATAACTGGGTGATTTGCTGGTGACTGGTCACAGAAATGACTACATATCTGAGCTATTCACAGTACTATATAGTGAACCAATAAAAACTAAAATATAAATTACCTTCATGTTATCAATAAACTCTATATTCTCCAATCAGCTAAGCTACCAACCATAAGTCGTTATATATCACAATGCTATATGGCGGAAAAATGGGTGGAAATTTGAGGGTAAGGAAATTTGAGGGTAAGAATCCACCCATTTTTTCGCCATATAGCATTGTGATATATAACGACTTATGGTTGGTAGCTTAGCTGATTGGAGAATATAGAGTTTATTGATAACATGAAGGTAATTTATATTTTAGTTTTAATTGGTTCACTATATAGTACTGTGAATAGCTCAGATATGTAGTCATTTCTGTGACCAGTCACCAGCAAATCACCCAGTTATTTCAATGCTAAATTCGCCTAGTTATTTAAATGCTAAATTCTCCTGTTTTGATTTGTACTAAGTGCCTCGGTGAATGTGTATGCTCTGACTTCAACGTAACTATTTCTGTAGCAGTTACAAGCAAATGCCTTAATTTAGCTATTTCAATGCTAAATTCTATGCTAATTCCTTTTAACAATGGGTGCCTCTGCGGAGGTGTATGCTTTAACTTTTAACATAGCTATTTCTGTGACCAGTCACAAGCTAATCATTCAGCCTTTTCAATGCTAAATTTTATGCTAATTCCTTCGTCAAGGCTCTTTGTTCCTCTCACACAGCTTAAAAGCCGTGATCTGAACGTGGCTCTCTCACTCCAGCGCTGTCCTACCAGACAGTCTCGCTCCCTTCACCTGATGAAGGCCGCTTGTGTTGTGGCCGAAACGTCGTGAGAATATTATTGTGTTATTTTATTTTATCAATTTATTATTTTATTCTCATTCTACGTGACTTTACCGAAAGAACCAAAGAAGAAGATGGATTCTATCTTAGCAATCATTGGAAAGATTTGATAAATCATTTCAGTTCTTGATTGATTGTTCACGCTTACAGTGGCTTTCAGACAGCATACATTATAAAAAATTTCGTCTCCCCCCTCCTCTTTTCAAAAAAATAGATGGACTAGTCCTGGGCAAACTGCCAATCGCTGCGCGTGACGCCAACGTTTTTTTAAATAAATAAATAAAGGTGCCGTTTTAAAAATAAATTTCTGCAAACCGACACACCTGATGATGACCGTTTGAGTTATGGTCGAAACGTCGTGAGAATTTTTTTTTATTGTTTTATATATATTTTGTTATTTTGTTGTTTCTCTTCAACGTGACTTTACCGAAAAAACTAAGAATATTTGCTTCTTTTTCAGAACCGACCTGAACACAAATGATAGCTCAACGAAGTGGCTTATTATGTGTAAATGTATAGCAGCCAAATAATCTAAACGTGTGTTTCTATGGCAGCAGCTGCCTTCGTTTTTATAGTTGTATAAAGTTAAAACCGGGACGTCCATCGCTACAGACATCACTGAATGACTGGCTGTAAGTTCAATTTGTGTCGTATGTGGCCAACCGCGCTCATCGGAGGTGCGAGAGGGGGGACAACAAATGAAAGACAAACTTTTTGGTTCCTTCGGTAAAGTCACAAAGGTAAGAAATTATAGATCACGACGTTTCGATCGCAACACAAGAGACCGTCATCAGGCGGGACACTCACAGCAGGGATTGTGATTGCTGCTGTGATTGCAGGGATTGTGATTGCTCAGTTTAACACGTAGGCTTTCGCGACCAATATTATTCATAATAAAGGTTTTTGGGTTCGATCGCGTTTATTTATAAATGTGTCGTAACCCTCCAACCACCCGACACGGCCAATCAGCAAAAAAGTGTCACGTTGACAAAAGACAAATAATTCACTACTTTAGCCCACCGGTGTGTTGAAGAGTGAATCCACATTTATAGTTTGAGTACGACGTTTCGCTGGTAAATACATCCAGCATCATCGGGCAATTCGCCAGAATGGTAAAGCCCTCGCTTGCTCCCGGTTTTATATAGAGCAGCAGGGTGACGTCATCACTTAATTCATATCAGGTGCAGTGATTAGAGGCGGAGGGGGGGTATTGTAATTATATAATCGATTAGTAATCAGTCATTGGTTATGATTAGTAATGAGTTGTAGATTAGTAATTCTTTAAATCAAAATGTAATGTGTATTATTTAATAATACGCTTCCAGGCCGCACTAAGCCGGTAGCTGTCAGAGCGATTAAAGTTATTCTTGTTCCTCTCAATTTCAATGGATTCTCTAATTAGTCTTTGCTGATGCTGGATGTATTTACCAGCGAAACGTCGTACTCAAACTATAAATGTGGATTCACTCTTCAACACACCGGTGGGCTAAAGTAGTGAATTATTTGTCTTTTGTCAACGTGACACTTTTTTTGCTGATTGGCCGTGTCGGGTGGTGGAGGGTTACGACACATTTATAAATAAACGCGATCTAACCCAAAAACCTTTATTATGAATTGTGATTGCTGCTGTGATTGTCCCGCCTGATGACGGTCTCTTGTGTTGCGATCGAAACGTCGTGATCTATTATTTTATACCTTCGTGACTTTACCGAAAAAAACAATGAGTTTGGATTCCTGCAGTCACGCAAGCTTCAAATCCAAATGAAAGGCAGTTTAAGTACAGCACACCAGTAACCGAGAGTTCACCGGTTTTCAAGCGGTAACCGCAACAAAACACGATATGAATCACCCCTCCGAATGTGTTCCACATCTTTCTGTTGGCATTCCCCTGCACATACGATTAGCACATTTGGTTAGGTACGGTACGAAAGAAGTTCAAAATATTGTACATACATCAGATACCACTCATCTACATCATCTACCACTCATCATCAACAGTCACCACTCACCATCATCAGTCACCACTCATCATCCTCAACTTCCACTCATCATCAGTCACCACTCAATTTTTGCTACTTTCCTCGTACCTCCGATGAACACGGTTTGCTACGTACGGTGCAAAAGAAGTTCAACATACCGTACGTACATACAGGTGAGTGAGTGGTGTACCTGTTCCGCATTGTTCTTTGCTGTTCCTAGACAAGGGACACGGAGACAGGGACACACCGAGATCCACCAGCACGGACACACACAGACCAGGGAAAAAGAGATGCCGGGAGACAGACTGAGACACTGGAAGACAGAGACACTGGGAGGCAGAGACACTGGGAGGCAGAGACACCGGGAGACAGACACACCGCGAGGCAGAGACACCGGGAAACCGCTAGAGACACCGCGAGGCAGAGACAAGGGCGAGTGGTCCCTGTCTTCTCCGTGTACCCGGCGGCTCTAGTTGAGTGATTTCCCCAACTCGCGTTTTTTGTTTAGGATTCACCCACGGCCACTGCGGCTTCCGTAGGTCCCGCCTACTTTACCATAAGCCCCGCCCCTCTCGTGTGGCCCCACCCACCACTGCCGCCCTGGTCGCAGCAGTTCTGGAGTAATTAAATAACGAAAGCAGATTCAGTCAATTCTAGATTTAAAGCTTTCGTGACTGCAAGGATCCATACTCTTTGGTTCTATTCGGTAAAGTCACGTAGGTAAAAAAAATAAAACAACAAAAAAAACAAAAATCACGACGTTTCGGCCACAACACAAGCGGCCTTCATCAGGTGAAGGGACCAGGCTGTCTGTTTCACTCCAGCGCTGTCCTCGAGACAGCCTGATCCCTTCACCTGATGAAGGCCGCTTGTGCTGTGGCCAAAACGTCGTGATTTTTGTTGTTTTATTTTTTTTTACCTATGTGACTTTACCGAATAGAACCAAAGAGTATGGATCCTTGCGGTCACGAAAGCTTTAAATCTAGAATTGATAACCTCTACGGGGAGGGCTTTCATCTATCTGTTAGAGCTTTTAACAGACAACGGGACAAGAAGTCATAGCTCATCGAGACGCTGACCTTCCTCAAAAGATGCCGCGATCACAAGGTAATACCCATCGCTTTCATACTCACTTCTGCTGCTGTATCTTCTCTGAATGCTAAACAGATTCTGTTTAAGGCCAGCCTATCTTTAATCTCAGAGAGGATAAGGCTACTCCGATTTGAACTCGATACTTTAGACAGGACTCTCCTACAAGCTCATGTAATGTTAACACAAAAAATGTCACCTTCTGATTGGAATCACGTAGACAACATGACTGCTTCTTCTGCTGATTCACTGTCAGTCAAATGTAAAGCTAACCTGATTTCTAAATTCAACCACCTATCAAAGAAGAACCCAGTTCCACATATAACAAACTAGACATTAACAAAATCGTCATTAATCAGAGTAGCACCCCGATTTCCGACAATCTGAAAACAGTACTGGCTAGGGGACTGAATTTTGCTGTCACCCCAAAACACATACCAGTAGATGATATCATCTCTCAGGTCGATGTAGCCTTCAAAGGCGTAGGACACATCCAAGCAGACGTTGCGATAGCTGAAATAGCCACTACTCTTAAGAATGCTAAGAAACCCATTAGTAACATCAGCAAAATTGAATGCTCTGAACTCACGAATTTAAAAAACAGAAGTGATATAGTCATCCTCTCAGCCGATAAAGGCAACGCTACTGTTATTATGGATAAAGATTCATACAACAACAAAATTCAGAATCTGCTCAACGATGGAAGTTACTCAAAAATTAAAAATGACCCTACCAATAGCCTAGCGATAAAAACCAACAAGATCATCACAAATTTCGATGTAAAGCTTTCGTGACTGCAATGATTAATCTTCTTTGGTTCTTTCGGTAAAGTCACGTAGAATGAGAATAAAATAATAAATTGATAAAATAAAATAACACAATAATATTCTCACGACGTTTCGGCCACAACACAAGCGGCTTTCATCAGGTGAAGGGACGAGACTGTCTGGTAGGACAGCGCTGGAGTGAAAGAGCCACGTTCAGATCACGACCTTTAAGCTGTGTGAGAGGAAACAAAGCGCCTTGACAAAGGAATTAGCATATAATTTAGCATTGAAATGGCTGAGTGATTAGCTTGTGACTGGTCACAGAAATAGCTATGTTAAAAGTTAAAGCATACACATCCGCAGAGGCACCCCTTGACAAAGGAATTAGCATAGAGTTTAGCATTGAAATAGCTAAGTTAAAGCATACACATCCGCAGAGGCACCCCTTGACAAAGGAATTAGCATAGAATTTAGCATTGAAATAGCTGAGTGATTAGCTTGTAACTGGTCACAGAAATAGCTATGTTAAAGTCAGAGCATACACATTCACCGAGGCACTTAGTACAAATCAAACAGGAGAATTTAGCATTGAAATAACTAGGCGAATTTAGCATTGAAATAACTGAGTGATTAGCTAGTGACTGGTCACAGAAATGGCTATGTTGAAGTCAAGGCCTACACATCTGAGCTATTCACAGTACTATATAGTGAACCAATAAAAAACTAACATAAATTACCTTAATGTTATCAATAAACTCTATATTCTCCAATCAGCTAAGCTACCAACAATAAGTCGTTATATATCACAATGCTATATGGCGAAAAAATGGGTGGATTCTTACCCTCAACTTTAGCAACACGGATAGCTACGGGCCCCGTTCAGACGGACGAGTTCATCCATGGTCGGAACAGAGGAGGGGGAGAGAGACAGCTGCGAGGCGCTATTATACTCCATGTTGTAAACCATACCATTAACCGTGGTGTGAGAGGTATTAAGAGTCAATGCTGGCGAAAGAGCTGCGGTCTGAAGGTCATCATAAAATACAATTAATTAAGAACAGAAATGGTTTAAAACATCTTTCCAATGGTTACTAAGCCAGAAGATGGATTCTGGCTTAGTAACCATTGGAAAGATGTACCCAAAACTTTCGCAGCTCTTAAAAATTCCCTTTTCACACCATCAATAGGTAAACTCCCCCTCCCCCCCTCGCCAACCGGCATGTTCACCCGCATGTACACCACCTCTACACCGTTCATCATGCTAAGTCGGCCAATCAAATGCTAATTTTTATGATAATTCCTTTGTCAAGGCACCTTGTTTCCTCGCACACAGCTTAAAGGTCACGGTCTGAGCGTGGCTGTGTTTCACTGCAGCGCTGTCCTCGAGACAGCCTGATCCCTTCACCTGATGAAGGCCACTTGTGTTGTGGCCGAAACGTCGTGATTTTTGTTGTTTTATTTTTTACCTACGTGACTTTACCGAATAGAACCAAAGAGTACCGATTCAGTCACTCACATTTCGACGCGGAGTTTGCTCTGCGTACGAGCAAGATCGCAAACATCACGGGAAGAGTTCGCTTCTACCTCTCTAGATCGCTGGCGGATAACACTGGCTCCCTAAACCACCCACTCGCTCGCTCACTCGCACACTCGCTCATTATGAGCATCCTTGTGTTCGAACATGGTGTTTGTGATTGATATTCCGTGACTTGCGCAGAATTTCAATACCATCCCACCGGGTTCAGATCAGGGGGGCCATTCCTCCCAATCAGGCCTCTCCAGGCATCTCCATCGTTTCCCACGTGAGCATTGAAGTCGCCCAGTAAGAGTCGATAGGCGGCACTCTGTCGAGCACTGCACCCAACGTCTCCAAGAAGGCCGAATACTCTGAACTGCTCTTTGGTGCATAATCATAGACAGCAGTCAGAGTTTTAATTTCTGAGACCCGAAGTCTCATTGAGGCGACCCGCACATTCCACTGGGATAAACTCCAACTGAACAGCACCCAGCCAGGGGCTTGTGAGAAGCCACCAGGCTGCCGTCACAGCGCTTCCCCGCCACCCTCCACATGAACACATATACACACACTCACGTAGGGCCTTGTGTGGAGGAGGCACCTGCCCTGAGTTTTTACCTGAGAGACCCCCTTTGTGGGGGTGCTCCACGGTTTCTCAGGGCCAGGGAATTGGCAGCCCCCCCCCCAGGCCAAATGACACTGCGGCGCCGTGGCTTAACTTAAAATTAAATGACCACAGCGAACCTACTGAGAACCGCAGTGAGGAAATGCCCAAGACACATGGACCAGCAGACAGGTGGGGAGTGGAGCAGCGCGGGTTAAACGTCTCTACCCGTGATGCACCGCGGGTTAGCGTCTCTACCCATGATGCACCACGGATTAACGTTTTTACCCGTGATGCACCACGGGTTAACGTCTCTACCCGTGATGCACCACGGGTTAACAGCTATGATGCGGCACCAACTCGCTTATTAAGTCGGCAGTACACTTGGTTAAAGAAGGGGGGGGGCGGGGCGTCGGAGAGGGGGGATGACCCGATTGGCCAAGACCGTTAGCTTTGATGTAAGAGGATAAAAGGGGGCCAGAAAGGAGAAGGGGTCTTTTCTAGATTTGAAGCTTTCATGACTGCAAGGATCCATACTCTTTGGTTCTATTCGGTAAAGTCACGAGGCAATTCAGATTTACAAACACAGACACAATTTTAACCGAGAAGATGGTTTCAAATTAAGCAACCATTGGAAAGATGTTCTAAATCGAACCAAACATTAAACTAATTTTCAATGGTACAGTATATTTTTCAAGTAGTGGGATCCCAAACTTTTGCAGCTGCTTAAATTCCCTTTTCAAACCATCAATATGTAAACTCCCCCTGCTCCCCTTGCAGGTCTGCACATGTTTCCCCCCTCTCTACACCGTTCATCATGCTAAGTCCGCCAATTAAATGCTAATTTTTATGCTAATTCCTTTGTTAAGGCGCCTTGTTTCCTCTCACACAGCTTAAAGGTCGCGGTCTGAGCTTGGCTGTGTTCACTCCAGCGCTGTCCTCGAGACAGTCTGGTCCCTTCACCTGATGAAGGCCACTTGTGTTGTGGCCGAAACGTCGTGAATTTTTTATTTTTGTTGTTTTATACTTTTACGTGACTTTACCGAATAGAACCAAAGAGTAAGGGGTCTTTTGTCTCTTTTTGTGCTGGGGGTGAATTGGAGAGGATGATCGAGGAGTTGTCAGCTCCCTGCCACTTGAATGTCCGCGTGACGAGTCAGAGGGCAGCCGAGTCCAGTCTTCCCAGCCAAAGCCACGTGCAGCCTCGCCTATCCGGGACTCCCTACCCCTCGAAGTCGGAGTGTAAGTATAGAGAGAAGAGGTAAGTCTGAGGAGAAAACCCCGTAGAAGGGGAGTAGGGAGAGACTAGGCAAATTGAGCCCTACACAGTAGAGAGATAGGTTAGATCTGTCCTGCTGGTCTACACTGACACGGGTAGATTAACTCTAATTAAATAGGGAATAAAGTACCAGTAGACACTAATCCGTGTCGTGTGGTTTCTGTGTTTACGCACGGGTGTGCCATTCTACCCACGTGTGGGTGCTTGCCGCGCACGTTAACCCATGAGCCCGTGTGCTGTGGTTTCTGTGTTTACGCACGGGTGTGTAATTTTACCCACGTGTGCGCGCTTGCCGTGTCACGTCAGCCCGTGAGCCTGCGTAGTTCTCTGTGATTATAAAGTGGGTAGTATCGACATTTGAATCATGCTTCTGCGAGGAGCAGCGGCGAGGGGGGGAGCAGGGGAGAGCGGGGGGGTACTGGAGAACGAGGAGTCGAGGGGCAGCAGCCCTAATAATTTGACAGCAGAGGAGAGCGGTGGGTCACAGGAGAACGGGGAGGTGGGGGGTAGCCTCCTTAACAATACCTCGGGCACTGCGTCAGCGAGGCAAGGGTGTGAATTGACCTGGAAAAGGTCCCCTCCATGGTGGAGTGGCCGAGGCCAAGGAACATGGCAGAAATCAGGTCGCTCCTGGAACTAGCCACTTATTGTCGTCGGTTTGTGAAGGGATTCATTGAGATTGCAAGCCCACTCACACAACTCACTTCTGTGGTGCCACGACAGCGAAGCCGCTCCGCCGAGGCCGGGGCCGCCGCTGTGCTGACGGTGCTGCTGCAGCGGGGAAGTCACCCGGCTCCCGTCACAGCGCTCTCCCCACCACCCCCCACATAAACACACACGGACTGGCAGGCAGGTGGGGAGCGGGTGGTGCAGGTTAACGGCCCTACCCATAATGCACCGCGAGTTTAACGGTCCTAGCCATAATGCACCGCGAGTTTAACGGCCCTACTCATCATGCACCGCGAGTTTAACGGCTCTACCCATAATGCACCGCAGTAGTAATGTGGAATGGGCAGAGCACTTGGTGGGACAATGGGGGCGGGGCGTGAGAGAGGGGGGGGGGCGGCAGGTAAGCGTTCAAACCTAGGAATAAAAAGGGACGGCATTGAGAAGTAGGGGGCCTTTTTGCTCGGAACTTGGAGGAGGGAGGACAGAGGGTGATCATCCTGTTTCTCGACCGTCCGTGTGACGGGTTGTAGAACAGCCAGACTCCAGCCCCAGCCAAAGCTTGGTACAGCCGCGTCTCTCTCCAACCTTTCACACATCTGGGCCGAACCGTGAGTAAGTGAGAGAGGTAAGGCAAAAGGGGAGGTTCTAAGAGAGAGAGAGTGAATAGAGAGGGGACAGACCACTTGAGGATTAGACCGTAGAGAGATAGGTTAGATCTGCCTGCTGGTCCGCACTGACACGCAGTTTAGTTTGTTTATTCGTAGGTAATTAATCGTCAGTACGGTATAAACCGTATCGTGTTATCTCTGTGAGTGAGGAGAGGAGGGCGAGGTGTTGTGAATCGGATCGCCGGGGTGCATTGTATCTACCTCCAGCTGTTCGGTGGAGTGCTCTTTTGTTTGCGCACGGGTGAGTAATTTTACCCACGTGTTTGCGCTCGCACGGGCGGGTAATCCGATTGGCCAGAGGTCAGCGGGGGGGGGTCGGCAAGTAAGCATTCAAACCTAGGAATAAAAAGGGACGGCATTGAGAAGTAGGGGGCCTTTTTGCTCGGAACTTGGAGGAGGGAGGACAGAGGGTGATCATCCTGTTTCTCGACCGTCCGTGTGACGGGTTGTAGAACAGCCAGACTCCAGCCCCAGCCAAAGCTTGGTACAGCCGTGTCTCTCTCCAACCTTTTACACATCTGGGCCGAACCGTGAGTAAGTGAGAGAGGTAAGGCAAAGGGGGAGGTTCTAAGAGAGAGAGAGAGTGAATAGAGAGGGGACAGACCACTTGAGGATTAGACCGTAGAGAGATAGATTAGATATGCCTGCTGGTCCGCACTGACACACGCAGTTTAGTTTGTTTATTCGTAGGTAATTAATCGTCAGTACGGTATAAACCGTATCGTGTTGTCTCTGTGAGTGCGGAGAGGAGGGCGAGGTGTTGTGAATCGGATCGCCGGGGTGCATTGTATCTACCTCCAGCTGTTCGGTGGAGTGCTCTTTTGTTTGCGCACGGGTGAGTAATTTTACCCACGTGTTTGCGCTCGCACGGGCGGGTTCACTCGGGGCTCGACGCGCATGCTTGGGCAGCAGTAACGTGCTATCACCCTGGGAATTAAGGTACGGGTCCTTCGATCATTAAATTCACTAGTGCGTGGTGTGGTGAGCCTATGCATCGTGTGGTGCTGGTTGTAGTTCGCCCGCGCCCGTACGGGGGCGTGCAGGAGCAGCAGCGCTCACGGCACGCGCCGCGCGTGTGGCGTATAGAGATAAATTGGTGAGCGGGTATTCCGCAGCCGTAGCCTAATTAGTTGATTCCGAACGGCTGCGACGGTAAATAAAACAAGATTACGCAATTCAAGCACGTGATGCTGCTGGCGGTGGTTACCGTGTGTGTCGAGCTGCGCCGTGAGGTACACGGGTACCCACGTGCATAATCATACAACGGTTGTTGCGGTTGTGGCAGTGGTAGATGTGGCTGCCCGCCCATCCAGGTTCATAATAAGTTGGCGCAACGCCAACTTATTATGAACCTGGATGGGCGGGCAGCCGACTTTGTGGAGGCCCTACCCGCAAGCGCGCAAACACAGCTAGAGGAGCTGATGCGCCGACTTGATCTGCGTTTCGATACGCGTGATGAGGCAAAGGCAGCCTTAGAGGCACGTCTGCACCAACCCGGCAAGGACCTGCGTGACTATGCCGAGGATGTGCGCGAGCTAACAAAGATCGCATGCCCGGGGTACACGACGGAGGTGATTGAGGAGCTTGCCGCCGAGAAGATCCAGCGGTACTTGGCTCGCACGTCGTGGTGGCAGCCCGATATGAGCTGTACACGTCTCCCCTTTAACGCCCTTGTCGAGCGCGCGCGTAAATGTGAAAGGATTTCCAGCGAACGCGCGCAGCTCCGGGGGCTGGGACGAGAGCGCACCATAGCAAGCCTGTCCCCAGAGGAGGAAGAGGAGGAACAGGAGCTTGCCAGGACAGTAAGGGGTCTGGAAAGGGAGCCTCCGGTATCCCGTGAGACAACCCCGGAATGGGTAGCGGGGATGCAGACGGGCATAAAGGATGTAGCCGGCCAGGTAACCCAAGTAGGTGACAGGGTGACCCACATACGTGAGGAAGTGAGCCGGAACATGACCAAACTACAGTTCACAGTGGGGACCATTCAGTCGGAAATGGGGGAACTGCGCTCCACGGTAGGGGGGCTAGCCGGGAGGGTGGCCTGACTAGAGGCAGAGTCTGGGCAGCGGCGTACTGGAGGGGAGAGAGGGAGCGGGCGGGGAGGCTCCTACGGGGCCGCCGCCCTTCCCCGAGCGTGTTACCTATGCGACCGTCGAGGGCATCTCGTGAGAGACTGTCCTCAGATTGCCGGCGCTAGACACGCGCCAGGGTTAAACTCCAACACCCCCTAGAGAGTGGACCAACTAGGGGTCCAATCGACACGGTCCCAACACAAAAATACGGTAATATTAATGACGAGCGAGTGACCTCCATACAGATTCCAGCAACAACACCCAAGGACGCAGTGAGTACGGGCGACTGGCTGCGGGAGCTGGTGGCGGGAATCATGGGGGCCACGTCGCTGGTAGAAGGGCAGGTGAACGGGTGGCGCACCCGGATTCTGCTGGACACGGGGGCGGTGGCCTCACTCGTGAGCGCCACGCACTGCAGCGTGCTCGGGGTTGACGTGGGCTGCCTGCAGGCCCCGGATCGCGTGCTGCACATGGCGAGTGGAGCCGGGATGGGACTTCTGGGGAGGGTCACCCTGGAAGTCCGTCTCGGACGCCAGGTGTGCACCCAGGAATTCTATGTCTCGAGTTTGTTGTGCCATGAGTGTATCGCAGGTACAGACCTCCTGGAAAAGCTGGGGCTCAACGTGCAGCCCCGCCAGCGATGCACCACCATGGAGAGCAGCGGGGAGCGGATTCCGTTCCTGGACCCGAGCCAAATCGCCCCCGCTTTGCACCCGTGGCCGCTACGCTGGTGTCGGCCGTCACCATCGGGCTGCTTGCCGAGATGCTGGTACCCGTGGCAACCCCCTCCACCGACCCCACACACCGACCATCGGGCGAGGTAACGCTAACTCCTCACCCGGAGTTGGCGGTGCGGGTACGGAGTTGTGGGGTCAGCCACGCTGGTAAACGCAGATGGAGGCCGACTGTTTTATGCGGGTGTTTAACCCACACAGTACCCCGGCAATGCTACGACGACGCACCACGGTAGCTACCATACACCCCCTGCACGCGCGCCACTCTAACGACTCGTTGTTTGCACTCTAGGCGGAGGACCCTGGTCGCTCCGAGGACAACCAGGACCTGGCCTGGTGAGTCGGCCCGACTCCCTGACCCGAGGTCGTCCCCTTGCGTGATGCGTTACATGTGCCTTGGGCAGATCTATCTAAGGGGGAGGCCGATCAGCTGCGTGGGTTATTGCAGGAGTACGCCGACGTGTTCAGTGAGCATGATTCAGATGTGGGCCGGACAGACCTTGTTAAGCACCAAATTGACACAGGTGCAGCCCGACCCATCAAACTCCCCGCATACCGAGTGGGCGCGCCTGAACGGGCCCAGATCAAAGAGGCAGTCATGGATATGCTACGTGATAACATAATCCTGCCCTCGGCGAGCCCCTGGTCTGCCCCGGTGGTACTAGTCGACCCGATTCTGTGTTACCGAAAGTTGGACGCAGTTACCCTCGGCGACGCCTTCCCCATACCACGCATCGATGACACCTTTGACAGCCTCGCAGGGGCACGGTATTTTTCCACCCTCGACCTGGCGTCCGGGTACTGGCAGGTGGAGATGGCGGAGGAGGATCGGCCAAAAAACGCATTTACCACCCCGATGGGACTGTTCGAGTTCCAAGTGCTTTCCGTTCGGACTCACTAACGCGCCCCGCGACGTTCCAGCAGTTGATGGAGTTGGTGATGCGGGGCTTGCAGTGGGAACAGTGCCTGATTTACCTGGACGACGTGATAGTGTTCAGTAAATCTCTGTCTGAGCAATGGTCCAGGCTGCGAGAGGTGTTCCAGTGATTGCAAGCAGCCCATCTCAAGCTCAAGCCGTGAAAGTGTTACCTTGCACAGCGCGAGGTGGGGTACCTCGGACACCGAGTCAGCGAGGCGGGGGTGCGCACCGATCCCGAGAAGGTGCGCGCCATAGTGGAATGGCCATGGCCAAGGAACCTGACGGAGATCAGATCATTTTTGGGGCTCGCCACCTATTATCGCCGATTTGTAAAGGGATTCATTGAGGTTGCACGCCCCCTCACCCACTCACATCCCCCTAAGAACCCCTATCAGTGGATGGAGGCCTGCCAGACGGCCTTCACCACCCTCAAAGACCACCTCACCCACACTCCCACCCTGGCTTTCCCCGATTTCACCACTGATTTTATTTTGGACACCGACGCCTGTGGCAGTGGGCTGGGCGCGGTGCTGTCACAGGTGCAGGATGGGACGGAGCGAGTCATCGCATATGCCAGCTGGACCCTGAGCAGGGCCGAGCTGAACTATTGTGTGGCCCGTCAAGAACTGTATGCCGTGATCTTCGCATGTAAACAGTTCCGGCCGTACTTGTACGGCAGAAAATGTCGGGTACGCACTGACCATTATGCCCTGCAGTTCCTCCTTACATTCAAGGAACCGCTGGGGCAGATGGCCCGATGGCTAGCACAGCTGCAGGAGTACAACCTGAAAATCGAGTACCGAGCTGGGCGTACGCACGCAAACGCGGACACCTTGTCAAGGCGGCCCGTGGTGTGCGCCGAGACAAGGACGAAGGAAGCCTGCCCGTGCTTCACGGGGGGACGTTGCCGCCAGGTGGCGGGCCCCCAGGAGCACGTTGAGACTAACCCCCATCCGATGAGAGAGAGTGCGGTATGTGCCACAGATACCCCGGCAGGAGGAGCCAGGGGCCCGGGTGACCACCCGGCGGTCATGGAGCCCACACCCCAGGGCCCGACGGGCCGCTCAACCCTGCCCAATCGGATCCAAGAGGACGTCGGCTGTGCATTCCCAGGCCTCGACGACGAGCAGCTGAGACAGACCCAGCAGCGGGATCCGGACCTGGCAGCGGTGGAGGCGGCCCTGTGGGAGAAAAAGGTCGTCCTACCGGGACCCTGGAGCGGTTTGTATGGCCAGTTGTGTGTAGAAGACGGAGTGGTGAGGGAACAAACCGAAGCTGGGCGGCCGGGATGCATCTGTGTCCCCGCCCAGGTATGGCCCCAGCTGCTACGGCTGGTGCACGACCACCCGCTCGGGAGCCACGATGGGGAATGACGCACTCGAGAGACTCTGCGTCGCCAGTATCTCTGGCCTAAATTGGCGCAAGATGTGGCCGCCTGGGTACAGTGCTGCCAGGCCTGTCAGCAGTGTGGGCAGAAACCGGCACGGTACCAGGTACCCCTGAGGCCGTTCCGTGTCAGTCAGACGAACCAGCTGGTGGGGATCGACCTACAGGGACTATTCCCACGATCCCACCGAGGCAACCGGTACATCCTCGTGGCAGTGGAGTATTTCACGCGCTACCCTGTGGGGGTGGCCATCCCAGATAAAACGGCCCTTGTGGTCGCCCGGGCGTTCGTGGAACACTACGTGCTTAAACATGGGATCCCCGAATGAGTCATTACTGACCAGGGTAATGAGTTCGAGGTGGAGCTGTTCCAGGTGCTGTGCCGCAAGTTCGGAATCCAGAAGGACCGAACCACGGCATACCACCCCCAGGTGAACGGTATAGTGGAGCGGATGAACCAGACTCTAGCCGGGAAGCTCAAATGCATGGCGGCCGCCAATCAACAGGACTGGGACGAACACCTCCCCTATGTCCTGTTCATCTATGCCACCACGGTACACACATCTATGGGACAGACCCTATTCCTAATGATGTTTGGTCGTGATTCTCGCCTTCCCGCAGATCTATTGTTCGGTGTTCCCCCACCGCAACGGGAGGAGGGGAGCCGCCCCGTGGAACACCTGATGGAGACTCTGTGAGGGGCCCGGGGCCGAGCCTACCCGCAAGGAGAGGCCGCGCACCAGCGGCAAGAGCAGAGCGCCCGACCCCGTATAGAACCCCCCTTCTACTCGGCGGGCTCAAAAGTATGGCTGCACACTCCTCGCGTCGGGGCCGGACAGATGGGGAAACTGACCACCTACTAGCGGGGGCCCTGGACCGTGGGACGGCAGATCTCCCCCTGGACGGTGCTGATTCAAGGAGGAGAGAAGGGCCGGGAGATGGTGGTCAACATCCGCCGACTAAAACCATGGCGAGCAGCTCCAGCGGGGGGGAACCCCGCCGTTTGAGTACCCCGAAACCCCGAGGTCCCCACACCCCCCATACCCAGGGGCCTCACATGGTATATGGGCCCCACGGAGCCCCGAGCCTCGAGGGGCCCCGACCCGGGTCGGGCGGGACGAGGACGACGACCCTTAAACCCTACCACCTCCGAGTTCGTTCCCCAACCCGCAGGTACTGAGGGCCGAGGAGGACCGTTGGAGTGGAGGAGGAGACTGCCGCCGGAACCCCGGGAGACGGAGCCACCACCCTTGAGGCCGGCCACAAGGACTGGACGAGTCCCGCAGACCCCACGACGCTACCTCGTGGGAGCAACCCAGGCGAGGTGCTCCAGTCAACCCGGGACGGGGACTGGCACCTCGGGGGGCTATGTGGTGCCACGACAGCGAAGCCGCTCCGCCGAGGCTGGGGCCGCCGCTGTGCTGACAGTGCTGCTGCAGTGGGGAAGTCACCCGGCTCCCGTCACAGCGCTCTCCCCACCACCCCCCACATAAACACACACGGACTGGCGGGCAGGTGGGGAGCGGAGCCGCGCAGGTTAACGGCCCTACCCATAATGCACCGCGAGTTTAACGGCCCTACCCATAATGCACCGCGAGTTTAACGACCCTACCCATAATGCACCGCGAGTTTAACGGCTCTACCCATAATGCACCGCAGTAGTAATGTGGAATGGGCAGAGCACTTGGTGGGACAATGGGGGGGGGGCGTGAGAGGGGGGGGATAATCCGATTGGCCAGAGGTCAGCGGGGGGGCGGCAGGTAAGCGTTCAAACCT